GGTTGAGGGCGGGCTGGAGGTTGGATCCCGGAGGCTGCCCGGAGCTGGTGCAGGACGAGGGCAAATACGTGGTGACCACCGACGAGGGCTGGGAGTTCCAGACGCTGGAGGCGGCGCTGCCCGAAACCGCAAGTGGGACGACCGTGTGGAGGACGCCACGCTGGCCACGCTGGCCTACAACCGCAGGCCTCACGAAGCAGTGCACGCGGCCCCCGAAGATGTCGAACAGCAGCCCGCCACTCAATTCAGGGTGCTGCAGGACAACGCAGAGAAGTTCCAGCACAACAAGCAGCTCACTGAAGGCAGGCAGAGGCGGCTGGAGCACTTTGGGGCCTTCAGAGCGCCCACCAACGCGGCGAGGAGCTTCCAGCCCCAGTACGGGCCCGTAAAGCAGCTGGCAGGCTACGACTCCATGGCGGTCAGGGGCACTGACGGCAGCGAGACGCTTTTGAAGCATGCACTGCCTGTGCCCAGGCGCAGCGGGGAGCCTGCGGGGAGGCTTACCAGGGCGCCGGTGCCCTTGGCAGCGAGGCAGCTGTGGGACTTCAATCCTGGGCCAAGCGCACCGCCGTGACTGCCTCTCGCGGCTACCGCCGGGAATTGGAGTAAGCGGGATTCCCATTCCAACGTCGGCGCCTGGAGGCCAACTTTGCTCTCAAAACAACAGATTTTTTCCGAAGTGGGAAGAGGGAACCCCGACTGCGGAAAACTCGGTTTCGCCGGGCGTCTATAAGAAAGCAGAGCGCCGGCGACACCGCAAGGCAGAACGCAGTCATGCCCCTGACACTGCTCCGCGACAGTCCCCGGGATTTACCCTGTGGACATCTGGCACATCTTCATAAATGAAATGTGTACCAAGAACTACGAGGAATGGCAGCCGCCCGCAGATCCCAAAGACCTGCTGGGAGCCTTTCGGGGGTCGCTGCCGGCCGTTACGGGGTGGCTCTCACTCGGGGTGAAGTGATTGACGCGCTAGGTGAGGAGTGGGAGGAGCGCCGAAACGGCATCTTCGACCGCGAGGGGCACTCTTTGATCTTCAAGGAGCTTCCCTCCCGCAAGCGGCGCCGCAGCCCCGACCAGGCCGCAGGCTGATTTCCGCAAATGTAAAAACGATTGTATCCGTACCCCGTAGGCTCGCAGTCCGGCAGCCCGGCAATGCGGCAGTGTGCTTCGAACCCGCCAGGAGCAGTCTTGGAGACAGACTCCGAATTCAGGCCCCAGGATTGGCGTCGAATCCAGGGCCTGGCTCCAGTATGGCTCACGAAGGTGTTTCTTCCCTGAAAGTTTTGCTTTGTAAACCCAACAGATTGTGCAAACACTGCAGCCTGCAACAGAACACGCCGGATGCCCACCTCCGCAAACCACCGGACCGGAAAGACAAGATCGAACCTCTCATTTGACATGCAGGTTGGCGATCTTGGCCAAAAAAAAATATTCGAGGGGGCCTGT